TGTGTATCACAAACAATTATACCTAATTGTGCTAGTTGTACCAATGTTCAGTTCCAGGTTGAAAATTTTTGGAAATTAGAAGAAATTGCAGAAATAAACACTTACACAGAGGAAGAAATTGAGTATGAAAATCATTTCAAGCGGAATTTTTCTCGCGACTCTTGTTTCTCGTTGGAGCAAAACGCAAACTCATGGAATTTGAAAGGCTTGCTAGATCTGCAACTTATAATCAAAACGTCAGCAGATATTTGGTTGATAATGGCATTAAATGGCATCTAAATGTTCCAGGTGTGCCACATATGGGTGGACTCTGGAAAGCTGGCATAAAATCAACAAAATACCATTTAAAATGAGTAGTTGACGAGGTGAGATTGACATATGAAGAAATTGAAACATTTCGCACACAAATAGAAGCTTGTCTTAACTCGCGACCTGTAACAAGTTTATCTAATGATCCAAATAACTTATCAGCTTTGATGCATGGTCATTTTCTTATTGGTAGATCATTAACAAGCATTACTGAACCAAATTAGATTGAAGTTTCCCATCTCACTAGATGACATATTCAAAAAATGGTTCAACAATTTTGGAAGCGTTGGCACAAAGATTATCTGTGTCGAATACAACAAAGACAAAAATGGCTTTTGCCAACTAAAAATCTTCAAGTTAATGATCTGTGTCTCATAAAGGAGGATAAACTTACCTCCAACTAAATGGAAAATGGGTAGAATTACTCAGTTACATCCTGGTCTTGATAATATCATTAGGGTTGTAACTATTAAGACTTCAGATGGCATGGTCAAAAGAAATATTACAAAATTGTGTCCATTACCAATTTGAATTTTAATTCATATATTATAAATTAAGTATTATATCATGATTTTATATAAATTAAGTATTAAGTATTATATCATGATATTATTACTGAGCGCACCTCGCAGCTCGCGGGATTTTCAATTAACGCAGACATTTCAAACCGTCACAGTATCTGAACGGAGCACAGCACGAACCTCTCACTAGCACGGCTAGATGCAGACTGAGCTGTGCAACGCTCTGACCCCAAGATGGCCGCGCTAGCCCCGCCCCTAGCGGACACAGACGGAAACGTAATCTACTTCCTGGATGGCCCTCGTATATTTAATATTTCTTCTGAATGTTTATATTACTAAAGAAATAAAAGTAGCCACTTTTTGTATAAATTCTAAATGCATTTAGAGTTTTTTAGAGTAACAGAAATCCTTAATTAAATCCAAAAATTCTAAAATAAAAAGGAAATGTGTTGATGAAAGAAACTGAATACATAAAGAAAATTATTGTTAAAAAATATGTGCAGTTATTATTATGTAAATTACCCAATTGTTTATGATTTGAGCCTTTACTATAATTTCCCATTTATATTTTCTCATATGATAGAGTTTCTGAGCCAAATTAAATTGTATAATCTTTGACCGCTAGTCCACATTTTTAGTTTGAATTAGACTGTTCTTGTTTAATTACGATACCGTGAGCTGTGATTGATTTAGTTAGCATCAGGAAATGCCTTTATGGTCTAAGTTCCTTTTAAATAAGAAGCTTTGTCTGATATTGTAAATACTTTCAGAGATAGCGATAATGTGCTTCACGTCTGTCGGGAGATTTTGGACTATTTAACTTTTACCAAATCAAGTAAACCCTCATAGGTACATTGTGGAGAGGTTGGCAGGTTAGGACATAAAGCACACAGTAACGAGTGAGAGCATTGGTTTGCATATTGAGACAAATCTTTAATTGTTAGAAAAGATGCTTAAAGAGAAGGAAATTGATATAATTAAGCCAAAATGGGAAAGCTTCAAGTTAAAATGACGGATAAATATTTTTTTTAGTGTTGTTGTTACAAGACATAAATGTTTTGTAGCTTTTAATGTGTAATTATCCTAATGTATAAATTACATGAATTTTAAACTGTGAAATGTTATTAGATTTTGATTTTAATAGTGTTTTTTAACAAATATTGTTAAAAAATAAAATTTAATAGTGACCATGTAAATCCATAATGACTAAGGTTATCAAATTACCTAATTTAATTATTTATAACTAATTGCTTACCCTTAAAAATTATCTTTACATATTAAAGCGAATTATTTACTTTCATTAATACTCACTGCAGTCACAAGATAAAATAAAAAAAATGTAAAAATTCAAGTAAAACTTATTCTTTGCATCTAGTAAGATTTAAACTAATACAAAACAGTTTATCACCTCTGGTGCTTTCATCGCTTATTGGAACCTTAAAGTATATCAACGGGGTTACAATCCCTGGAACTCTACACGAAGCTACGACACTAACGGCATCAAACAGAGCCTGACTAACTTTCAACACTTGTCAACCGTGCCTGGGTCAGGCCTTTCAGGTTTGCTCTAATTAGCAGGTCTCTCTCTAGACAAGCAGCAGTGGTGACAACATTGTCTTTTGTTAAGAATCATGTTGATTATGATCTTACATCTCATTTCAACCTATGCTGTTTGACATAAAATCTACCTGCTATTTACTAAACCTCTAGACTGACCAAGTATGTGACAAAATGAGACTAAAAAAAAAAAAAAAAAAAAAAAAAAAATCAACATAAAGCTAATGGTTAGCAAAACATAAATCATTTACGTTTTACTAACTTATATTGCTTCAAATATCTTTTCACTTATCTTGTTTCAAATATGTCAATTATTATAAGTTTAAAAAATGTAATGCTACTTGATAAATTGAAGTTTATTTTATTCAAACCTATTAATAATTATGTTAATTAATTCATGTTTATTAATAATGCATACTACTTAAGGATCTGTTTCATTTTCAGGATGGTATTACAAAAGTGAAATGAAGGCATGAATAATATTAATTGAATTTTTTTATTCAGTTCCCATTTGCTCATAGGTCCTTAATTTTTTCATTAATGGTCCTTAAAAGTCCTTAAAAGTACTTAATTTCTGTGTGCAGAAATGTGTATGAACCCTGGGTATGGGAAAACCGGTTTAGGGCCACTCCATCTAACTTCGTACCTCCATGGTGTGTGTGTGTGTGTGTGTGAAGGAGAGGTTTGATTTCAACGAAGAAATTGTTGGGGTGATTTTTTTAAGGTCAGGGATAATTTTATCAGTTAGCTGTTTGGTTTTTCACTAGAGCACTTCTCTTTTTCTCTTTCGCTTTGGTTCAAAGAAGTTTTAGCGCTGTGTTTAATAGTTTTACATTGTAGGCATTTATATTTTTATTTTATAGTTTATAATTTCAAATTGTAGATATAATATTACTTTATTTTTTTATTTATTTATTTTTTTTATTTTAAATGATTTTCCAAACGGATGGGAGAGGGCTGAATATTTCTAAAGCACAGAAAGTGCTACACAAATTGCTTTCAGATAGTGAATCTGATATGGATCCCAGCACATGTGCAAAACATGCAATACTGGGTTGTGCTTTTTCAAATGGGATGTCACTTTCTTCAAAAAGTACCACAATGAAAAAATAGACTAAAGTGTAAATAGGAAATGTAACTATCATATACCCAAGTTTTTTTTTTTCCATTCATAAGCATGTAATCATTATATAGCCCAAAATGAGCTTTTTAGGGGAGTGTAGAGTAGCAGATTTCCCCATGGCACACACTGGGTAATGCTAAATCTGCTATGGTATTCAGAATTTAGTGTTTTTTAATCGTATGCAAAATCTCTTACTCTTTTACACGCTTCCCAGCAATGCTCGTTTCAGCACTCTTTTCAAAGCTCTATTCAATCAGTGTGCCCGCTTCGGGCACACCCACAGAATTAAAACGATAAGTGCTATTTTTTTTTTTTTTTTTTAAATCAAAATTCCAACTTTAAAAGGTAGCATGCCGGAAAGGGTTAAAGGAATAATCATTCAGATTAATGTACAATTTCAAGCTATTTTTCACCATCATACACCACAATTGCTGGAAAATATTATCTTGGATATAAAATAAATAGTAGGACATCAAAAATCAGTCCATTAAGATGGATGAGATTTCAGTTTTAGGTTTTCAGTTCCAAATCCATTGCTGTGAATTTTCATCAGATGAAGAATAAAAACTGGAATTATATTATTTATAGCTACTGCTGAACATTTATATATAACGCTTATCCATTCTCCTGTATCTATAGAATGCAAAGAAAAGAAAGTTTCAGTTTTAGTTATTAAAGCAACTATTAGTTTTAATCTGTGTACTGCTATCATAACAGATGTTGTGTTACGTATGATTAAATATATTTGTGTAATCTTTAAAAATTTCAATAAATTATTATGTAGTGCATGTTAGCAATGGTGTTATGATAAGTTCTTTCTATATGATATGTTATCAATATTTAAAAAATAACAGAAGTGAAGTATTTTATGTATTTAAAAAATTAGTGAAATCTATGCCTTTGTTGCCAAGTAAACAAATGTGATGCATAAAGTGGCAGAAAAAAAATTAATAAACTGAATGTTTTGATTAAAAACAATCTTCAAATGTATCATTGTTTTTAAAAAAGCTCAAAATTATTTTTAATTTTATATCTAGAATCTGTGTATTTTGTTCTAGTTATGAATCGATAATGGAGTCCTAATAAGTTTTCCAGCTTGTGTGTATAGGCATCTTTTATGTAACTTCCTCTAACCTCCATTGCATTTATGAAACACATAAATGCAATGGAAGTTAGAGGAAAGTTATGGATCTTGTAACCTCTAAAAGGACGCAAGCGTTTTTATTATTATTATTATTATTATTAATCATTTGCCTTTCAAATTAAAAAAAGGTTATTATTTTTATAAATTTTATATTATATTTATAAATTGTATGTTGATTTATAGCATGTATGGTGTATCTCTCTGTGTGTGTATTGTATATAACACACAATTACAAAATTAGCAAAAAAACATATATATATATATATATATTATGAAAAACTAAAATGATATTTTTAAATAATTTTATAATAATAACAAGAATAAGAAACTTATTTTTAAATTTCAGGTGCGCAAAAAGAAAAGCCATTTATGTATCTGTCCTCTGTTGCAAATGATCCTGATTTAAATTCCACTATCACTGTAAAGGTAAAATAAATTTTTTATAAATTATTTATACAGTGCCATTATATAAAAATTATTTTTATTAAAAATAATTATGAAATGCAATAGCTGAATGTAATAACAGTAAAAGATTGTAGCCAATTCCTTGTTCTTTGAATTATATTAGTTTCAAAATTTTCTTTGTATAAATGCTAAAACATTTTTAATAAGTTAAAATTCTGTTAAGAATTGAATGTCATAAAAGAAATAATAAGTAAAATATTGAAACTCATTGCTTTGCAAGAAAACTGAAATGATAAATTAATAGACTTTGGAACAGTGTATCATAAGTAATTATTTCTTATTTTCTGTGTTAGCATTTCAGTTACTTTAGAATTCAAATGAAGTAGCTCTCTGTTTGTTGGCTTATCAATTGCTAACTATTTTCTATCTCTTTTATACTATGCATTTCTGTCTATTTATATTAAAAAGATCTGATGTGTACATCACATGACTTCCTTGTATGGAATATGAAATTGGACGCATTTTTTTTTTTTTTTTCTGCATTTAATTTAAACTTACTGAACTGAATTAAATCTACTTTGTCGATAGCGCATAAACCACAATAGAATAAATGTACTCTTTAAAATTAACTATATTTATTTACTATAGCGGCACTCTGTCGCAAGGTTCACTTAACAGTGTTACATCTCATTCATTGTATAACTCAGAATGCACAAAAAATATATAATTTTATGAATTGTATATTATATGATTTGCCACATGTTCTATACAAATACTATAATAAATCTAGAACGATGTTAAAAGAAATTAAACAACTAAAAAAGAAACAGTTTTTTACAGACACTTAAGCGTCCCTTACCTAATACTCGTGCGCTACTCATAAACATTCTCCTCTGACTGGGACAGACTGGCGACAAAATTTGCTGCTAAGACAAAACACTTATTTCCTCAAATTTCATTAAAGATATAGTTCTTATTCATTTAATTCAGTTCTCACTTTGCAACAGGGCAAAAACACATAAAAACTCAAAATAGCTTCATTAAAAATTGAAAGCTATAGAAAAGCATAAAACACTATAGAAATGACACATATAGAACACATATAGAAAAGCATAAATACAGTTAAAAAAATTTTTTTTTAATTACAATTAAAATTGGTGCACAAAACTAAAAGTTTTCTTTTGGTCCCACTCGGCAGAAAGGCTTTCAATATTCTGCTAAGTTTTAAATGTAAACAAATATGGCTGTTATGGTTAGAAAAATTAGGCTTAGCTGCACTTAGAAAACATCTAAATTGTTGATAAGTCTACAACTAACACATGCAGTTTAACTTAAAGCATAAAAACCGTAACCGGAAGTAAGAACAACATATTTCAATCATTTTTAATGCAAAAAATGCACAATTTACCAACATATTAGAATAAAAAAACTGAGCTCAGCCTGCCAAGTAACAAAGTGGGTGTGTGTGTATATATATGTCATATTTTCTAAGCACAGTTGTGATGGCTGGAACTCTCAACAGTGTTCAATGTCCATCATGGCTGTTGTTGTTGCATACAGATGAAGATAATAAAACATGAACTTGCAGAATTTCCAGTCTTTATTTTCACACATATCCAGATAATTTGGCAGATAATTATTCAGTTATAATTAAATATGATACATCTCTATGTACATTGGTTTTTAAAGAAAATGACGTATGCTGTTGAGAAGCAAAGCAGCAAGAGAATGACAGAGCAGCAGTTAGAAAATAAAGGATGACGCAGTTAGCTTGCCAGAGCATTTATACCAAGTTTAATGTACAAGTACAGCTAATCTGTGATTGGTTAGTTAGTAGCATTACATAACATCAAAAAATCTCAAATTTGGGAGAAAAGAATGAATGTATTTAGGGGAAGAGCCCCAAATTTAGAATGTTAATTTGAGGTAATAAAATTAAAAAATTAAAAAATAAAATAAAATAAATAAATAAAAAAAAAGGCTATTGTATTTTATTATATTTTACATATAATAAATTTATATTTTACATATAATAAAATTATATGTAAAATACATATTTTGGTGCGACCAATTGCAATCAAAAAGGGAGGTGCAAAACTATATAGCATAAATATATGCAAAATTTCAATGTTCTGAGACTACTCATTTTTGAGTTATGTGAGATACTTACATACATATGCATGTACGTACCGATGCCACAGAAAAATCTCTTTTTAATCCATTTTAATTCAGTTTTATAATTCGTTTGAGGGAAAAGAGTCCTTTATTTTGTCATTATGTACAGATGTCATGCAGAAACATCTTTAAATTGCATTTTATAGCAGGCAGAATGGATATTTTCGCTGAAATATAATACCCAGAATTTTTCGTGATTACAATGCTTCCTTTACTTTGTACAAGGAAGTAAAATCTTTGGTTTGAAAGTTTGATATCTGAAGCTGAAAATGCATTCTATTAGTTATGAAACATCAGATTAAATTGAATTAAAACATTGCATTAAATTTATGGATTCTCTTTCCTGTGAATTCTTACAAATAGCATTTTAGACTGTTTTAGTTAAGGAAATTTATGATAAATGTTTAAATGAAATATTTTCAGGGAAACCAAAGATATATAAAAAAAAAGAAATTTTTATTGAGGAAAAGTTACCTGTAGAATTAATATATTTTTATCATGTATTCATGTAATTAATTGTTATAAATTAAACTCATTAATTTTTCATTTTAAAATTTTATATCTGTGCTGAAACTGGAAACATATAATTTAAAAATTATGTACTTTCTTTTCTTTAGGCTTTCATTATTAGAGTTTTATCAAAATTAGAATGCACAGCTGATAAAGGATGGAGCCTTAGTGTAAAAATAAATGATGGAACATGTTCACTTGATGTGAATATCCATGATAAGGTTATAAATTTTTTCTAATGATCTATCATATTGTTACAAATTTTGTACACATGTAAAACATTTTAGCCTAATTATATGTAAAATTGTAATGTCTTTTACATAATGTAACATGAAATGCCTCAAGATACAAAGCTCTGCTGGAAAAATAAGATTACAGGCACAAGTCTAGTTAACATTGAGATGAGTGGCTATCTCGTTAAATTTGTGAGGGCCACTAAGTTTCATCACCAAATTTGGTGAGAAGGGCCCTAACTTAGGGACGTTTTGGTCCAGACTCTGCATAACTAATTTTTATTTTAATTGATACCTATATTTAACTGTAACCATATCCATCCCTGCTTTGGAGTATTGAGATCTGTCTGTCTCCGGACTGGCGCTCGAAAGCTGGAGGTAGTGTCTAAACACAGCTCCGAAATTTTTAAGTAAGTGTTTCAGTAAATGTTTTCAACTCTCTAAAAAAGTTTAATGCACCTTTCCTATGCAATGTCTCATTCATCAAATTGAAAAAGGAAACTTTGCTTCTTCGAAACTTCAAATATCTTGTTCGCTGTTCACTATCAACACGAGAAATCCAAAAGAAACCCTGACATGTAATATTCAGATAAATAACATTCTGTTCTCTATACAATATCTTATTCTCTATCACTGCCATTAAATTTCTTTATTTATTATTTTCATAAGATTCTAGCATTATACAATAGTTAGTAATAGTAGCAAGTCATGTAGTTCTTTTCTTCGTAACTATTCCGGAGAGACACATTTCTTATCAGTAGTCCATTCTTATCAGCAATTCACACCCTTTGGAGGCCCCCCTTTTGGTGCTTAGGAATTTCTTGAGAGGGAAAAATGGGAATCTCTTGACCATCAATGAGTATAGATTGTGATTTTTGTAACTAAGATCCTGGACTTTTTTTTTCAGGTCTCAAACTTAGAATTATGAGCAAATATAAATACAGTGTGACGGAATTTGTTAAACTTGTACTATAATAAATTACAACGGTTAAATTAATAAATTAATTTTATATTTAACTAATATTTAAGAAAAATAAACTGTATAATTTATTTTTGCTGAAATGTGTTTGCTCTCACACTGTGTATGGATTTATGATTTTGTCAAATGCTGTTTTTTCTTTTTTTTTAAATATACAGGAATTTTTTGGTAACGGTAATAGTTAATGTTATTTAAGTTAAAATTATGATGTAAAATTATGATGTAATTGTGATGTAAAGGCTCGTTTACACTAGCGGAACTTTGGTACCAAGAAACGTACGCTAATGTTAAGTTGTTACTCCTAATGATCACACCCGTTTACATTTGTAATTATGTGTCTTTTGTAGTTAGGTCTCAAGATAAAGGGCAATACACATTACCATGTTAGGAATTCATTTATTTATTATTTATTTTAACTTAGCTAAAGTTTGCTTCTTAAAGACACTAATTTTTGCAAATGAACTTCTTTTAGCTACACTCATGGACACAATCATATTTTAGGATATTTTCTACTTCTTTTCCTTTTCTTTCTATAGCCCCCCTTTTTTTCCCCCGCCTCTATTATTTTTGGGCCATTTATTTTAAATTTTATTTTGTTCCATCTTTTCTTTCTGGCCTTTTGAACTCGTACAAAATGTACGAAGTTCCTTTTTACTCTCCTAAAATACGAAATTGTCCCCCTTTCTTTACCTTTCCTTCGTACCTATGATTGATTTTTCACACATCAGTGCAGAAAGACTTAGTGGGTGCAAATACTGAGAAGAGCTGTGCAAGTACATTTGTGGAAATTTCTAGAATTGTAAATTGTCGCTTTTGGAAAAATAAAATTTGTGAAGCTATCATGAGTTCTGTGTGCATTTATTCCATTACAAACCCATACGCATACAACAAGATTTGTCTGTGTACCTCTGTTAATTATATACATGTCTTTTGCAATCTTCTATCAGTAGTATATAATTATATTTGTTTATTTGTTTTAAATTTATAAAACCTGCATTTTTATATGCTGCATAGTTCAAATTTCACATTTTATGCATCTCTCCCTCTCTCTCTCTCTATATATATATGCAGTGACTTATTATAAGAATCTCTTACAATTTTAGATTCTCATATGAACGCTAAATTCAAATATTGAATTATTGTTAAATTCTTTATAAGTCAATAAACTCAATTTTGGTGACCACAAGTTGCCATTAATTATTATATATTCATAAAAGATGCCATTGATATAAAAAGCACTTCTGAATTTAGTTTTCTATGAAATTGCAAAGACACAAAGGAGAATGGATCAACATATTGAGCATTCCTTAATTCTGGCATGACTAAAGAAAAAGATAAGCATTATTTCGTATGAATAATATATATATATATATATTATTTTACATTGCATCGACTGAGAAAACACTTATGTAATTTTATATTGAGAGGTTAAGAACCATTGTTTTTAAATTTTTGCAACATTTCAAATATCTTGTGCTGTTGCCTCTAGGAATTTTGGAAAACTCTTAAGACAAATCAGAGAAACTGCTTTTTTAGCCATTTTGTTTGCTGTTTCATTTCCAGAACATCCCCTTAAGCATTTGATATTTATTTTATACTTTCCAATAAATAATTACAATAATATATTTTTATTATTGAAATTATTTTGTCAATTACTTTATGAAGCTTTTTTTATTCTGAAATTTATAAGTTATTATTGGGCTTTTAGTATAAATTATTATGTTTGAAACAGAGAGATTACTCCCATTGTAAAAAAATCCATTGCTAGCAAAATAGTAGACGCACTGGCTTGGTTACTGATACATTTTGGATATAATAGCTGTTTGCTTCCTGCCACAACAAAAGCACAGCCTTTGATTTAGATTATATAACTTTCTAGGTGAGCATTTGTAGATGAGAAATATCCACTAATTTGTTGATCAGTTAATACTTGAATCTAAGCATTTTGCATTCATTCTTTTTTTTTTTCCCCCTGTAGTGTATAGCATCAGTGCAGCCTTGCTTTGGACAATTTGGAAACATCATAGTGTTTCTAATTCTGTTTTAATTTCAGTTGATTTTTTTTCATTTATCTCTGTTTTACTTTGTGACATTTAACTATGTTGGATCATTTTTCAGAAGTTCAATTTTGTGTATTAGAAAGGTAGCTTTGTAAAATAAATGTAACATTTCTTTATTTTTATTAATAGGTTTTAGAAGATATTATCGGAATACCTGCTTCAGATGTGGTGGTTAGTGAATTTTGGAGTTTATATAAGTTATTTCTTTTTCTTTTTTTTTTTTTTTTTTTTTTTTTTTTTTTTTTTTTTTTTTTTTCCCATTATCTGATAATGCTATATTTTATTATTTGCATTTCATGAAATTTGTCTTTTCAGAAAATGCAGCTTGGTTCATCAAATGACGCTGAAAAAGCAAAAGTGCTGCAGGTAAAAATTAAAATTATTAGTTGTTATTAATAAGTTGAAATCAATTATTCTCAATGTATTTCCCTTAAATTGTTTTGACAGTGTAGATTTTGAAATTAGCTATAATCCATTTGATTTGATGTATACTTGCAAGTTGCAAGGTATCTGAATAATTTATGTTGCCTTTTCTTCTTTCCTCAATATAACTGTCTTTTTATTTATTTATCAGTTTTTCTTTGGTTTGGAATTTTTTTTTTTTTTTTCTAAACTGTTTTCCCTTTCTTTAGGCCATATCAAAGTGCAAGTTGACTCTTCAGAATTCTAACTGTCTCATGGATATTAAATTTGTACATGGAGAGTTGCCATGCCTAATTAAATGTACATCTGTTAGTAAACTACACATGCAGCAGCTTCTGCAAAGAGTTCGTTCCACATTATGACTTTGTAAGAATGTATTATTTATAATACAGAATATATATATATATATATATATATATATATATATATATATACAGAATATTTTGTACTAAATTTTCAATTCATGATATTGTTTGAAATTAAATAAGCTGTGTTTAAATGGTTATTTCTTATGCCAGTCTTATCCATATATTAAGATTTATTTATTTATTTTTGTGTATTTGTACAGTGCTTAAAAAAAAAAAAAAAAAAGAAAAGAAAAAAAGTTTTATATCTCCGCTCTACTGGGCCGATTGATGAAATTCAACTTGCGTTTTTCATGTCTCAAATGTGTGACTTAGGATATGTATTAGACTTATATATAGCATTGTTCTAATATAGGTATTTTGACAAAAAATCAGACTTTTTCTGAAAAGACATGCCTTTCCCCCCCCCCATATATCAATTCTGCGACTCAGATTATGCCAAACTGCCAATGTTTGTAAAAATCTTGTGAGTAGTTTTTAAAAAATTAGCTCACAAAATTTAGCTGCTCAATGTTAATTGAATTTGATATATATTTATTAATATCTCTATTTTATAAAAAGTTACTTAACTCCTTCCACAATTCGAAATTTAAAATCATTCCAAATAAAACTTGCCCATTTTTTATGATTTATTTTTAAATAATTTTTATATATTTTTCGAAAAAAGTTTTGAATTATAACCTATAAAATTGTTACCTTCATCTTAAAGTAGAAGTATTTTTAAGCGTAGCTGCAAAAAATTAGAGTATTATATTAAAAATTTCCTAAGATATACGTAAATTTACATATTGGTGCATTTTGAAATTTTGCATATTTGTTAAAAGCGATAGTAACATCAAATGTGGTTTACGCACTTAGTTAAAATTATTTGAAAGTATGAACAATGACATTTTCTCCCCTCAATTACAATGAAAAAAAAGGAAAAGATAATAGGGTTGTTACAAATTAAGAAGTTCGCCAAGTAAATTATTCTTGGGGCAAACTGAAAAATGTAAGCCAAGGTAAATTTCTAAATTTAACTGTTAACAAACTATCAAACACATCTTTGCTTTTTGTAGAAGAAGGAACTGGGGAACTTGTAGGGGAATAATCGCACACCCTATCCATAGAAGGTGGATCACCAGATGAATAAGGTGAGTCAACTTCTATATCAATAACTTCGGTTTTCTCACAAGGAGGGGGACGCCTAGACTGTTTGTCAGATTTCTGTGACACGTTGACAGAAGCTTGATGTTTATAAGGGTGAGTATTGACCAAATTACTCTGAGTTTTAGCACTATTATTGGTTGACTATTATTGCACTATTATTGACAGAAGCTTGATGTTTAGAAGGGTGAGTATTGACCAAATTACTCTGAGTTTTAGCACTATTATTGGTTGACTATTATTGCACTATTATTGACAGAAGCTTGATGTTTAGAAGGGTGAGTATTGACCAAATTACTCTGAGTTTTAGCACTATTATTGGTTTCACTCTGTATCAAAGATGTATAGTTTTGCATTTGATCCCTATATTTTTCAGTAATAACAATTAATTCCCTTTCATTTCCATTTTTATCTATTTTCTTTTTCACCAAGAAACCGTTTTCTTTTACTTTGAAATAATTTGTCTTGCTGAAATTTTCACTTTTAGCTTCGCTGAACAATGAGGCTAGATCTCTCCTTTGATGTTGAGATTCAATTAATTCCTTTGAATTAACATTAATCTTTTTCTTAGTTTCTTTGTCTTCCTTATCAGCCTGCGGTAAAATATCTTCATCAGTCTCAATAACAGACAGTTCTTCTTGTTTCCCCATTTTGGTTTCTCTACTCCGATCTTCTTCATAAGATCGTGTCAAAACTGCATTTATCCTTTCTAAATTTAAGAATTGTTTATTTTTGAGCAACTGAGCAGTTTTATTACCCAATACGTATATGCCAAGATCATTTGTAATAACAGCTGCCTTTGTCTTTTTGTGACCTAGTTCACAATTAATTTCAACTTCAGCTAACGACATACTAGATCAGTGTTTCCCAACCTTTTTTGTGCTATGTCCCACCTAATCCTCTGTAAAATTATTAAGCTTTCCCTAGCATATACAAAATTTTTAATATTTAAAAATTGAAATGTTCGCAAAAGAGACTTGAATGATAGCTTTTAGGAAGAAATTACTACGAAATTTTGTGAGCAAATACAGTAAGTGAACTTTCAAAACATGGAAAACTGAAATTCAAGAACAAACTCATTTTAGTAAAATATTTTTTTAATATTATTTTAAGTAATTTGTATTATTTAAATTTAGCAAGTTCCTTGCGCTTGATATTTGCTGCAGAGAGATTTTATGCCAGGTTCCAATTTAGATAACTTGAGTCTCAAGTCTCCCCGTTTCGTTATATCCAACAGATTTTTTTTTTTTTTTTTTTTTTTTTTTTTTTTTTTTTTTTAATTACCAGCAAATCATTTATGGCACTACATCTGCATTCAGCAATATATGAAGATGGAAACGGTAACAATAGTTCTCTTGCAAATTTTGTTGCATTTGGATATCAGATTCTAGTTTCCTCACAAAGCTATGTCATCGCTCCTTTTATATTAAATAAAGATTTACTTGACTCATCATTTTGAATTTCTGCAAGTTGTTCCTTTTACTGCATATTTGAAATATCAGCCAAATCCACTAGCATTGGCTGCATCAACCAAGTTGGGAAATCAATTTTGTTTCAATAACAAAATCTTTTAAATCAGTCGATAAATTTTTCAGATGATCGACAATAACAAGTATAGCAGTATCCGTCACATCACATTTTTAGAGCCAACGAAACTTTTCAAAATTTTTGTGATAATTCAACAAAGATAATGAAACCGAATATCTTTACTTTTGCATCGACATAAGCTTTATTTGCTCCTTGAAGTTGTTTATTTAATATATTTAATTTTTCAAAGATATCGGCTAAATAACTCGCAAATGGCTTGTTATCATCCGTTAACGGATTTTTCATTTCAGGTTTGTCACTTAAAAAATAACTAAGAGTATCAAATAGTTCCGTAAATCTTTCCAAGCAGTTCCCTTTCAACAGCATTCTTACTGCTGTGTGAAGTATAAGTCTCATATAGTCTTCATTTTGTTCTTCATAAAATAACTTGAAAAGACATTTACATTTGGCCCTAGCTTTTATAGCATTGATACACTTTAACCAGGTTTTTATGAATAACACAATGCACAAGATGCATTTCTGGATTCTCATCTTTTGTCAATTTTAAGCAACCTTTTTTCAAATTCTGTGATTTATTTTATTTTTCAACCATTATATTAGGAGCACCATCTGCAGTACAAGATGCATTATATTTTTATTGGTATATTTTTTATATCTAAGTAATTTTTTAGCTTACTATAAATATCTTTGTAGGTAGAGGTGCTTTCTAATGATTTACAGAAGAACGTTTCTTTGGCAAAATCCTCTTTATGAATATATCTTACATAAGTAACAAGTACGGCCTCACTGTCTCTCAAAGTTGGTTCATCCATTTGCATCGAAAATTTTCTTGTTTTCAGCTTTTCAACAAGTTGTATTTCAATATCCTCACTCATTTCATCTTTCTTCTGCAAACAGTATTGTTATTTAGTGGCACAGCTTTAACGTCTTTGTCATCTTTTTCTAAAACAGTTTTAAATGCTGATATTGATGGTTTGATTAAATTCTCCCCTATAGTACGGCTTTTCCCAGATTAAGTGATGAGTAATGAAATTTCAGAAATAGCCTCAAGAGCACGATTAACAGTTGCATTATGAGCAGTAATTAGAGACTTTAAGGAAAATTTTTGAAAAAAAGAGTAATATTAAAGTGTGAAAATAATTCAAATCTGAATTAATATCAGCATTATATTTCGCCTTCAAATGTGCTTCAAGACCACCTAGTTTCATTGATTCGTTGGTCAGGCATTATTGGCATAAAAGGCAAAAGGTGACCATTTATCGACCGGGTACGAAACCAAATTTTAAATATACCTCCGAATACTGACGAACTTTTTTTCTTGCTTGCACCCCTCATTTCACTAGGGCTGAAAGAAATAAATACAAGATCAATATAAACAAAGCTGAAAGCTGAGCTTTCCTTGAGCTGTTGCCACTCAAGGAAAAAATAATATACCGATTGCCATTTCTACAGTAAAAAAATAAAATAAATTCATTGGCTGAAATGTGCGAAAAACGTCTAGAAAGCATAATGTGTCAGTTATTTAAATGCCCTTTAAAAGCATTTAAATGTTCATGTCTACAGCGAAAATTCTTCATAAAATATTTAAAGTGCACCGCAATTTAAAAACTTTTTACGTATGCATCACTTGCATTTTTCTTTATTTTGGGAAATAAAAATGAAATTTCGAAAATTTTTGACTTCCTTGAAGCATATATAGAAATTTGAACTTCCTTTGTCCTCTTAAACTCTGGAGAGTCCATTTTCGAATTGCCCCCTTAACAGTCGCATTGCCCCCTTGTGGGGCATGGGCCCCACGTTGGGAAACGCTGCACTAGATGGTCATTTAACAGATATTGCGCCCTGACATGTTCTCCAGTCATTTTTGCGTTAAGTATGTATTTTTAAGAAATAACATCTACTGTTGCACCTGTTTATCGAAGAATAGGTATTTCATACCCATTAAAAAAACCGTTAATTGTATATGTCTCTAACAAATCATCGTTCGAAAATACGCAGTTTACCTTTTCATTTGGCTTTAAGCGAGGGTATTGAGGCTTAAAATGTTCGTATGATCCACACTTGAAACAACGCGGTCGATATCTTTTGTCATAAATTTTCTGTGTTCTTGTTTTGGGATTGACTTTAAGTGATGCTTTGTTAATTCTGTCAGTTTGATTTGCAGAAAATTTCGGTTTTATTGTTTTTCTAACATCTTCAAAATCTTCAATTTTCTTAACTATCTCAGTAGATGAAATGATGGTAGTCCATTCATCCGTAAAATGTTCATTGAAATCAGGAGAAGTACGCTTTTTAATTTGATCAACCAGTATGAGATCTTTTAGCTGTTCAAAAGTTTTAATATTTAATCCGTTAAGCCATCCTTCTAAAT